ATGTGAAAGGTCGAAGTATGAGATTAGCCCTGAGATCGCCTTTCTCGACAATATTCAAGGTGTGCTCGTGAAAATTGAGTTTTTACCTGATCTTAACACCTAGATCTGTAATGGAGGTGACTGGGTTAATAACACATCCATTTATAGTTAATGTGACGTTAGGATTCTATTTCAAGCACCAATCAAAAGTATAGCGTATGGCTGCATAATAATTTCACTTTTTCGTGAACAGGTCGCATTTTATTTCGAGCATTCATCGAAGTAATCCGCATTATTATACAATCCAAAAAGTCTGCATCAGACCAACCGTCTTCAGAAAATGACATATATCACTTTAATTGAGGGAGGGTAGATTCAGCCTGAATAGCAATGGTTAGATTCGATGGCAGTGCTTCTGAATTTTGCAAACAATGTGCTGCAAAGACACGCATGCTATTCAGTCGCAAGTTCATCGGTTGGTCAGTTACCTCCGACCAACGAGCACATTTTGTCATCGCTTTGTCTTATTGCCATCCGTGAACGAGAGCATGTAAATATTTTGAAATGCACTTGATAATGAAATTTCACTTATGGTTCGCATTTAATTAACGTTCCGATTTCACCGCAGTGCATCGTTCTCATTCAGATTCTCATCATTTAGCACCGATAATTAATTCCGAATAGAGCCCTGTGTTGGGTATTATCGTTTTTGTGCTTGAAAAGCAATCGACGTTTTTCAGTCATTTATGCGTTGCCGTGTGAGTGTACGTTAATGAAAAAGCATTCATTTCATTGGAAAGCATTCATTTTAATGATATTATGCCGTGAAGTTCATGTTTCTGAATTTGGAACTAGCAGTAGGTAATCACTTGTTTACGTGGCAAATGACGGGGCTCAATGTAAACAGACTTTCTTATCAAAATGGTTGTTTACTAGTCATTGATAATACGAGCGTTTCATTTCGTTGTTATTGCCTTTTTGCTCCAACATTGCTGCAATAAATGCAGTTTTCAATATCATAAATCTGCAAATGACAATTTTGCAAATCAGTGCATAATTCAAAATTCAACCCATCCTATTGCTGGCTTCAGTTGTCAGACGGTAGAAAATACTTCGTCATTTTTATTTGTATCCGAGCGTCGTGTGGACGGCTGCTTTGTTTTTTTTTNTTTTTTTTTAAGTTTAACAGAATTCTAATGTGTGAGGAAGGGCAAGTTTCATGGGAGGAAATATGACAAGATGGGAACAATGTTTAGAAATGGTAAGTTTCCGGTTTCTAAAGCTGTGAAAAAGAACTGAATAGGTGATGAAAAATATTTCGAAGAGTTGCATAAGTGCTTGAAAAATATTTTCAAGTCATGGTTTTCCATCTCACTAAAACTGTAACAATAGAGGTCAGCAATTTCAAGTCAGCGTGCCATTCTTGCCGTATATTCATGAGAATTGATCTACATGACCAAACTTACTCGTAAGATTCTGGTCATTGATTAATGAGATCAATCCTTGAACTATTTACGATAAGCCATTTTAAGGAAACGCTCAATATAGCAATTACAAAAACAATTTATGCAGCATTATTGCAAATCACATTATTCCTATTGTCCTTATCAATATGTCGTTCAAATAAAACGAAACGAACAAGCGGCGAACATCAAATTTTTGGATTACAACCAAAGAAGAAAGGTTTTTGAATTTTTGTTTGATGTAATTTGCAAATTTTCAGTGCATTATCTAAAGAACATTAGTAGTTTTGGGTTTATTCCTTACGATAGCCCATCAGTTGAGACTAGCATTAATAATACAGTGAGGCAGAAGGAATTACCAAAAATTCAGAACATCATTTTTTGGAGCAATTATGAACGTATACTCAGCAAAAAAACATTTATTTCGCTGCTACGGACCAAGTAGTAGAAAGAAGTGAGAACAAGCGATTCATTGATTACACACAGAAATGATTTGTTGCTAACGGATATCCATTGTAAACCTCGGAAAACGATTCATAGAACAGTACCATGATGGACACTGTTACTCAAAACGGAAATCACTTCCGTATTCTAAGTAAGCAACTGCTTCATAAACCGGTCTTGCGAACTTTGTTTTAGTTCTCTTTCGGCCAGAGGGAAGGCCAAAACTAAGACCATTTCTGTATAAATCAAAAAAGTCAAAGCCGTTTGAAAAAAGAATGGATTTACATACTGGATTTATAAAAAAATTTCCCGATTCGCATATGCAAAACTACCCAAAAGAATGACTTTCTAATTCTTGCATAATTTTTCCTGTTGCATGAGGTCATTATTGTTGCTTTTGCAAATTATGAGCTCATAATGAAAATCATGATCTCCAGCATACATATACATTTACTTTACAACGACTTAAGTTGTTTCATTGGCAAGTTTCTGCGAATATTACGAAGAGAACATTACGAATATTACGAATAGTACCTCAGAAACTTTTCCAATGGCTGAACATCAGTAATAGAAGTGATTATGAAATGGAACTCCAGTATTGAGAGAGACAATTTTAAGCTGTTGTTGAGCGAACAACTCGAATGAGTTTGCGAAATGAAGATGATCCCGATCTCTGTTCATCACTATCTGAATACCTCAAAACTTCCAACGCATCAACTCCAACTCGAACTACTCCTTCGTCCCAGCCTAAAACTGGTTCAGATTCCTACAAAAGAAAGACCAAAACTTCGCAAAAAGAATCCTCGGCTCCTAAAGACATCATGAAACCATCGCGATATCGAGCGAAGAGTTCCATTCCTCCTCATAACTATTGTGATTCACCTAATCCTTCTACATTCTTAGCACCCGAGTTTCTGCATTAATTGTGTTCGTTACGATTACCGAAAGGTTTGTTGATCATATATTGTGTCAGATTATCGTCAATATGAATTATTGTCAATATTGTGTCAATATCAATTATTCATAATCGCAAGTTGCATTTTTAAATGTAATTTGATTTCAAAATAAAGCTGATGACAAACTAGTCTCTGTGATTGACACAACAGATCATAGATAATAGTACGAATAGAACTATCAGATTTCATTTCATTGGAACGAACATTTCAATTTTTGGTGCCTCTTGATCCTGAACGAGCACTTTTTGATGGCTTCGATGCGGAGGAGACTGCAGGGAACGTGGCCTCCTGAGCGCGTTATTATTCGAAGCCATTGGTGCAAGAGTGAACAGATGAGCATGCTAATTGAGTACCAGTGAGAATATCATATTCAAGGTAATGGCGTTTCCATTCCACTCAAACTGTTCTAATCATGTTCCACCTCGAGAACTGGAACAGAACAGTTTGGAACGAACAGAGCACAGAACAGAATTGTTGAAAAGGCGGTGTAGGACGCAAGGGAACAGTGCTGAAATTTTTGGGTGCAGGAACAGAACCTTCAAATGGGAAATGAACCTTCAAATGTGGGAATCGCACTAATTTTACTGTCAACTCAGCTACTATGTTTGATGAATCTGTGGTGCTGACCAATGACGGGCACGCTAACGAAAAAAGTTAGCGCGTTAGTCGTTAATCCGCTAAAAAAACGAAAATAAGTCCGCTAACTGATCAAGTTAGCGCGCTAATCGCTAACGCTAATCCGCTAATTAGCGATTAGTGGATTAGCGCGCTAATGTCCATCACTAGTGCTAGCAATGAACCAAACTTCGAGGACCAATGATTGAGAGCTGTTTGTAAGTCTCGTTGTGGTATCAATTGGATATGACAAGATCCTTTGATCTTTCCTGGGCAGCCATCGGCTTACTGAGCATCATTAATCAACTACTTCAGTCTTTTTTGGTTCCACACAATATCTTGTTTGATTTTCCTTATTTCTACCCTAATGGAAAAGCTACATTTGCGAACAGTTAATTGAGGCCTATACAATAGTTTCATTTGTCGTGTTAGCGGATTTCATCAGAGACGTTCCAGGTGGAATAAAGAAACACTCACTCACAATTATGCTTGGAGGAAAATATCTTGCGGCACATTTGGGTCGAGTCCTACGGAATTCATAAGTTTAAATTATGAAGTGAGCACTGAATTTTTGATCTTATGATCTTTCCTGTTTTGCTTGACAACAACATTGTTGATATTTCATGCTATTAATATACATTGACAGGTTCGGAGCGTTGGCTTGTCTGGAACAAAGCAATTCAATTTCGACTGATTACCATGGAAAATCGTGCTTCGGTTTATGAACAAACTATTTGAATGTATTGTGTCCGTAAATCGAACATACATCGTTTTGTTACCACAGAAAAAAGTATTTATTAGTGTTCAACACAGATAGGTTAATATTTTGTGGCAGTTCAGATTTACGACCAATTCTAACCTACGATGAAGGTCTCACTCCGAAATAATGCTCATCGTATGTCGACGAAGAAGTGCATCATAAAAATGAACTTCGTTATAATGAGCGTAAAATAATTTGGGTTTTTTTGTCATCGACTAAACAGGTTTATCAATTAAACTAAGTTTTGTTAACATACCCTTATTCATCATTTCTCAGTCGTATATAATAAGTTCGTTATCCAACAAAACACACAATTCCACTCCTGTTCTCCTACTGGCTGCGTTCCTTCGGTGCTCCATAAAATGCAAAAAGGTAGGAGGTTAGCTTGGATAATTTCTCTTCATGTGCTTTCTTATGTCTGTTTATTGTTGGAAGACTGACCACACTTTCTACGGTATTGAACTCTCCTGTAGCAGTTCCACAAAGCATTGATGAGTGCATGATAGTCCGAAGTCTGAAGAAATCATTGACCGGAAATTAAGCAACATTCGAGTTCATGAAACTTTTCATCGGAGCAGGATTCATTTCGGCTTAAGCGCGACTCACGATACAATTCATGCGAAGCAGTGTTTGTTCTTCCCTTTTTGAAATCATCCAACTGTTCTGTTCGGTTCCTGGAACGAAACGGAATGACTGGAGTGGTTTGGAAGATGGGAATAATTGGATGATCCGAGAGTGTAAGAACGCAACTGAATAGAACGTAAAGAAAACGGCTCGTCAGAAATGCGAAGAATGGTGTTCTTTGCCGTCTAAAATCGTTTTCGGATTCTGTTTATAGGTAATAAATGAAGATTGTAATGGAGGTGGGAAATCACTAATCGCAAATGGGGCACTCATTGATTGTACATGTAACGGCAATGATTCTATTGATCCTACAACCGAATGTTATCTATTCTCACAAGCCGTTCCACCCATCCATCATTAATTTTGCATTCCCCAAAATTGCCAGTCATTTTTTTCGGACGTTTTAAAAACATTCTCATCGATTATTTGTGAGAGGAGTCGTCACATTTTATTTGAATAACCAACATTGAAAGTCGATGTATCTCATATGAAATAAGTTTACAGAGTTCAAACTGGATACCATTTACAGTTGTCGTAATTGTTCTCCTGAGTGCGTTTCTGGTGGATTATGCTGATGCTGCGGCAATGCTCCAGCAGGTCGAACTAGGTTCTACGGTGAACGTTGAATTCGGTCCTAACGCTAAAGAAGTGCTGATTGGAAGCGGAGATTTCGACAGTCGAAAACCAATTGTTAAGGATGGTCAACTGACCGATTTTGGTGTAAGATTAATTAATGTCTAAATGAAAGTAACGAGAGATGATGTAGCAAGTGTCGACTGACTGAAGCTGGAGGCACTTTGACAATTACAGGCACAGTTGCTGCTCACTATTATGCGCGATAGGAATTCAATGAACTGTCTTGCATTTGAATGCACCTCATGAATACCATGTTGCAAATCTTGAGCGTGACCATCTGCACTATGTAAACGCCCATAAGCGAGCTTAGCATCGCGGCGTAAGAAACAGAGTAAAACTGATGTAAATTTTTTACAATCAAAAAAGAAACTTCTTCAAACGTTTCCAGTTATTCAAAATTCAGAGTTTTTTTACTCCTTAAACTGTTTTTTTGTTATACTTTACTGAATTCAGTTACATTTGCAGAAAAAGAAATTCGACGACCGAGCAACGTTCAGCGATGGAACGTTAACCATCAGCAACTTGCAAAAATCAGACCTAATTGATTATTTCTTCCGCATTGACGATAAACCCAATGTTATCAGCCTCACTGAAAAGAAAATATTAAAAATCAACTGATCTATCACAGATCATTGTGAGTTAGTGCAATTGATGGTGGTATAATAGTTGGATTAGTTGAAAAAAAAANAAAAAAAAACGTTATCGGGTTTTATACAACACTAACAAAATTATTCAAAATTGAACCATAACTTTATTACATGTTGAATAAACTTGATTTTGCGATTGCATTACTGGTAAATAGAATGTTTAACATAGAACGCATAAAACAGAAGTATTCATCTTTCTCACTCAAAAAAATACGGAACGTTAATTGATTCATCAATAGCAAATAAACAATTAGGTGTAAAGAAATGAACAAATTAAAGGTAAAGAAATAAGCAACAATAAGAATTGTTGTTTATTTCTTCATATTTTCATAATCATAATTTCATAATCATGTTTCATAATTCCATTCAAACCGTTATGTTCGATCAGGATGGAACAGATCAGCTTCGGAGATTGGAGGCAGAAACAGAGCATTACAGAATAATTTTAAAAACAAAACAGAGCAGAACAACTTCGGAATTTTAAGGTGTGGGTCCATAATGGGACGATGTGTAAAACAAAAAAATGAGTGTAAAACAAAATGCAACAGAACAACTGGAGGAAGGAACAGAACAATTTACCAAAAATGTGGAACAAAGATACTTTTAACTTATGTAGCCAATCCTATCAAGCTACACTGGTGAAACGATGGATTTTCTGCAATCTGAGAATACTCACCCTCGAAACGCAAGCCTCCAATATCATTGATCAACAAATCTTTGAAAGTTTTGTTCTTGCTAGATAAGGTTAATTAATCCTTTCATAATTTCATGTCCTTCATCAAGATATCATTCTAAAAATGGATGACTGCCTACAGCAGTAAAGTACGCAAAACCTGTAATGTTTCATACCCACTGCATACTTTATTCTTCATCTGTCCACTTTCTATTTGCCTGATGTTTTCATTCGGCTGATGAAACATCTCTTGACCAGTAATAGTCTGCGAGCTTGGTTTTGCTCCATTTATCCTAAAAGCGTTTTTCCATGGCTCAATTAACATTTCACCTTGTTCGTCACTGAACGCATCGCAGTTTGCTGCAAAAAAAAGTCTATATGTGAGTCTATAAAGTGGTTTTTAAGTGATAGCTTAAGACACGTTACATCCCATGATCTTGTAAGCGTTGATGAGGTGTTTTATCAATTCCTCATAGCGTTCTTCTATTCGGTTTCCGCAAATCCTTTTGCCACTAAGCTGGATACTTCCCAAGCATCTTTCTCCTTCCTATGAAGGATTACTTAAAAGCTGCCGTCTTTAGGAAGCTCATGAATTTCATTTTTAGGTTAGCATCGCACAATGAGAGGAATTTTGTTCTGAAGAAGTTCCTTGAATCCTTCACTGGAATTATTTACAGCTTTACAGAGTTCTTCGTGAGCCCCAAGCATTACCTGCAGCACTAGCAGTAAAATTTTACTTGGTTTAGCGATAAGTGGATGGTGTACAAGTTTAATTCGGGGCTCCAATGACTGATGAGGTGGCCAGTTCTTCCTGATATAATTGGGATTGCTTGTACGGCTGTCTCATTTACAGAGAGACACAGTGTGCAAAATACAGTGGCAGAACCACGCAGATTCCGGAAGCTCATGATCCTCATTCAAGTGTATCCCTAAACACACGTCCACTCTAACCTCTCCTAAGCATGAAGCTAAATACAAGCCCATACGCTTCTATATTGGGAAACAAACTGTTTTTTGAATGACTGACTGCAGCAGTTGCATTAGGTCGATGGAAGTGTTTTGCGTTATGAATGTCATAAACTCAGAAAAAATATCGTTATTTAACATACTCGAAATTTTCATGCAATTTATCGAAAATAGTGTAAAGTCATTTGAACCCATTTTTAACACAATTTACATACGAAAATTTGCATCTTGTTTCTGTAATATTATGTTAAACTTTCATTTCTGATTAAATTAACGTTTTCTATTTGCATTTGAACAATCGTAAAATGAGGATTCGAGAAAGTTACTTTCATTTGTAGTTTTCAGACACTGGTTAGTGGGCGCAATCGCCTTGGGGCTGCTTAGTGACGTTGAACTAATGCCCACTATTGGAATATATTCGTTGAATCTAATATGCGATTCGTTGATAAGTGTGAGTTAATTTTATGAGTGCGCTTGTCCTTCGAATGATTATGATCATACTTGCTTGGAGCACCGACTGTATTTGGTGGGCATTGATAATGTGAATGATCCAAATTTCACGTTCATTCGTCCATTAAAGTAGTCAAATTTTCGACTGCGCATTATGGGCATCAGAGAAACGGCAACAACGATCGAATATAACAATGCCCATAATTTCATTTGCACGATGCTGCTTTCGCTTCAGCGTGCTAGTAATTGAGTAATTATACAATTATGCGAAAGTTCAATGTTCAATAATTGTTTTAGGTTTGCACCGTTCTAATCGACCTTTTTGTCGCGATTTTTCCGTTGATAAATTTCATTCTGATGTTAAATACAATATTTGATTGCACAAGAAAACGACAACAGCCACAACAAATTCAGCAGTTAAATCCGACTCCATTTAGAGGTCAGTCTTCGTTCTTTGTTTGGCTCTTGACAAAATGAATTCTTATTTTCATTTTCACTGGTTTAACGAATAATGTAACGATTGAACGACGAGCATAGTCTTGCAAAATCTGAATCTGAAAATCAGAGAGTTCGAATGATAAATTTGAGGACATCATAAAAAGAAGAAGCTGGTGGTTGAACCATCAATACGAATTAGTTTACAAGGACCAGTGGATGGGCATGATTCAATTGCGAGTGCTCGCCTCGATATGGCTCCATTCGAATCGGCTGCAGACATATTACCCGCATCTCGGAGTGGACGAGATGCAGCAAAAACTCTCATTAAAAATGCTACGTATGTTGTGATACTATCACACACGAAACGATTAATAACTTCAATTTTTTTATGCATTCGATTTGTTCATCTCGCATTCATTCAATTCACAAATTCGTTCATTTCATGAATTCGATGCATTTTTGTTCACGCTTAGATGAAAAATGAATATTTATCAATTGACTACTGATTCGTTTGAATCTTCGACTGCATTAAAACATAACGAATGATTTGAACGTTTCAGAAAGCAAAGCGAGCGAGCAAAGTCAAATGTGTTGGAGCCTTCCGAGAAAGACGTTCAAAAAATCGATGCACAATTGCCACAACAATCATCTGTTACACCTGTATGATATTTTTTGAAGATTAAATGATTGAAGATTTTCAATTCACTTGATCAGGCAGAGCAGATGAAATATTTGGAATTTATGATTAAGTTGATGAACAAGGATACCACACTGCTTCTTTTGTTTTTTTGTTCCATTAATAGCGAACTATTACATGAATATGCTGTTCTCTTAAGATGGTCACCAAAACACCATTATTTTTGAATGAATCTAACGTGTTATTCTAATTAAGAGATTGCCGAGTTGCAAAATATTTCAAAGAGTGCGTTTCCTAAATAATTGTCGTATTGTTGTAGTTGAGGGGTACGAACCCGTGCTAATCTCTATAATGCGATGTATCAGCACACTTCCAAGCCAGCAGCATAAACCGTTTCATCCAGCAAATTTCTCATAAGAAGATAGCTGCGATTTAGTATATACATATGATTCCTCTTCAGGACCAGAAGAAAAATGACAATAACGAACGGAGACGAGCGCAGATGACTGCTCATTCAGAAACATTTGTGAAAGTCAACGAAAATAAAGTGGAACATAAAGGCGGTGCTGATGGAACGATTCAAAAGGGTAAAACAAAACAGGATAATGTTCTGGAAGAAAAATTGTGCAAACAAAAATTGTCCGTAAAAACTAAAGAAGAACTGAAAAGAAATGAGAAAATTTCTAAAAAGGACATGCATGAATCAGCAAAAGAAGATTTCTATAGGTCTCAATCAACGCAACTCCTCACAATCAGCACGAAAGAGCCAAATTTGTTGTTGCTACCAAAGGGATCAGCAGAAGATTTTATCGCTGATTCAACACAAGATACATTGACGTCGGATCGTACGCAGCAGTTCAGTGACAGGTCGATGTTGGAGGAAACGTCAGATATATCAAAATCGTCTTCGAATGTTGTCAAGAGAGCAGAGGATTTAGGAACGAGCTCAGAAACTGTGCGAGTAACTGTATCAATGACGAAGGTCGAGAGTCCTTCTGAGGCAACTTCTGAGGCAACAAGTAGTAAAACAAAGTCGATTATGAAAACAACTTCATCTGGTGATGACGATGTGAGTAGCGTTGGAAATGGTCAGCACACCGCTGATCTCTCACAGTTATCGAGTAATCAAGATAGTACCACTGAGACACATCCAAGTATAACCAGTCGAAGGATCGCTCGTCATCTATCGAATGGCTCGATTCGCGATGAAACATCAAAATCTGATTTCGAAAAGACACGATCCAGTAAACGCGTAACAAACCGCAGAGAAAGACAATGTGATTCAAGAAATCAGTCGAATAAACATGTACCATTACGCACTCAACAATTGCGGTTATCTCGTTTGCAATCGTTCAACGTGAATCCTACAAAACGACCCCTTGTATGGACTCAACCACAACAACGCAAACCAATTATGATCGCATCAAAAGATCAGTATACCCTCCAAAAAACACAATGTTCACAGGATACTACTACCAGCAGGAGTCCTACTATTCAACCGAAACGATTATTGAAAAGACAAACAAAGCTGTCGAGCGGTACTGAATCAACCGAAGAAAGTTCGAAATCTCGAAATATCCAGGTCAGACCGAGAAGAATACCGATTAAAGTGAATCCAGTTAGACTGAAGATTCCAGTGAAACGCAATCCGAAATCATGAAATTACTAATAAAGATAGATACGATTGCATGGTGATAGATACTATGTTTATTTCATTTCTAGGTATTAACATCTTTCATTGCTATCGTGTCATTGAGAGACGCAGCATATTATGCTGATTGTGAGATAACATTCTAATTTTCTTATACGTTGGAAATCAGACCTCCAGACATGTAATCAATTTAATTGTTCTATATGATTATCGTAATTGTCAAATATAGGAATTGTTGCATAACAGTTGTGATTCGTTCAGTACATTGCACAGTACAATTTGAACATGCAAGCACTCTGCTCATTTTCTCCTTAGCTTCAGTATTCACATACGCCACATTGTTGCAAATTCATCCTCACGTTTTTATTCTTCACANTTACAAAAAGAGGTTATATTTTGTTGAGAAAATTAAGAAGTCTTCCCACAGTTAAGATCGCTCTTTATAAATAGATATGTTCAGTCTTGATCGCCTCGTGGCAGAGGGTAAGTAGCATTCCTATGGGGCAGATCTCCATTCAATATTTTCACATCTTCAACAATAATGAGCAATCGGTTGGAATGTAAGTATATCGCTGAATTTGTTGTGTAAATCTCGCAAATGCAATGGGTTTGAAGAATTGAAATAATTGCTGTTGTGGTTGCCAAAATAATCATGTTGAACAATATATCTATCAATGTAAGCATAAATGAAAAGTGCTTTAAAGAGAAATTCTGTGAATAAATTTTTCTGTCCAGCTTTTCATTCCTTATCCTCCTTTTGCAATAATTCCGAATCGTGTTCTGAGAATAGGTCGGTTCATGTGGATTGTTATTTACTGAAAATACAAAAAATGAATTTCAATGGGGAGTATAACGATACAGTTTGCCTACCGTTAGTCATTTCTCGTTGATTTCTCACCGAGAAAGACGGTATGAGAAAGGATCATGCATTCCCTAAACGAGATGAGCCGAGACGACAATCGATGAAGGTGTCAAGGAACTGTTGGGATGTAAGTATACGGAACGGTCAGTTTCGATCGCCTGTTGTGGTTGCCTAAGTACTCATGTCGGTTCTTGTGGGTGCCGCAAATGAGGTATTTCATTTGCGAGCTCGAACTTTGATTCTTGGCTCGAATTTCGTGAAATTTATCCAAGTGGCTTAAGATTCTGAGTTCAGAGCGGACAGTTGGTGGAATCCGTGTCGGGAATTAACATTTCACCCCGGAACAAAAAAATTATTTGAGTAGAATTTTGAAAACTTTGAGAATCGCCTCATGGTGAGCAATGATATGCCTCAGGCTCATGGTAAAAGTAGAAATTGAACCACGCTGTAAGCATCAAACTAGGAAACGGGTTAACCTCAGCCTGAGTCTCGCTGTAGGCCTTAATACGATTTATTTAGGAAGAAAGATTTTATTATGTTTTTTATTATGGTTAGTTTGAGAAACATTGGACGCATTTCTATCAAAAAGCAGATTTCAAGTGAATTTTCCTCTTACGTAACATACCTTCAAATAATTCCGAACTATTTTGCATAGTTTCGAATTTCGGTTTCGAATTATTTCGAACTCAGAAATTTTTCACATTTGGAGTTTCTTTTTCGAAATTCGAAACTATGAATGTCAATCCTCGAAATGCAAGTTGGAGCGACATTGGACTTTCGTCTGAACTGATTGCTTAGAGGTGCTGAAAGTGTTCTTCTGTTTTTATGTAGATTCCACTTGACACCTTTTGCTTATTGGTAGATTCGATAATTGTGTTGTTAAAAGTTTTTCCATTAGCGTTCTGATATCCATCGAACTGCTCTAATGACAGGTGTGTGAAAAATTTCTCATTACCACTGCAATTTTTTCAGCGTTTTGGGATGATTCATAAATTTTTCTTGACTTCGTTTTCTTAGCCTTTTGAAAATGAAGCATTTGACGACGGTTCATGATTGTTATTTCTATGTGCTCCTTTTTCATCATCAATCTGATAATGTTTTATTCATCAGAATAAAGTTTGAGAAACATCAGCTCTGAACTGCAGGTGGTCGAATGCGAACACTTCAGACATATTCATACTTGCACAATGTGATTCATTCGATCAGAAACCGTTCTCAATGAAATCGGCTTTACCATATGCAATGGAAATTAGTTTGAAATGTAGTCTGATAATTCAGTACATCAATAAATACGACAGGTGCAAAGAGAAGTGATTTTTCGACGAGGCAAAGCCGTGACTGTATCATCTGCACACAGTCAGAAAGGATTATTGACCCATTGCTTGAAATCATGAAATATTAATTGCCTTCTCATTCACTCACATCTACAGACTACAATCATCGCATGGTTATGCTTTCAACTTTGAATGATCTTCAACAGTTTGCTCAACTTGAACACTGTGGATTGGTTGCATACAAGTTTGTGTGACTTGTCGATTTGCTAATATTTCCAGTTCATGTTTTGAGGAATGTCCGTAGCCGACATAATTCACGAAAACGTGAAAGATTTGGGATTCCGTATAACGGAATTAGACGAGCTAAGCGCAAATTTATCGTTCCACAGAAGTGAACGAGCTGTTTCCTGACTAACGAACATATCTGTCTGCTGATGAAAGTTGATTTGAGTTGGTGACTTTACTTGGAGGTCCTGAATTGAAGTCAGCTAATAATACAGCGGTTGGTGGTAGTATGATCGTTGCAAACGACGAAGTCGTTTCACGATCTGTGATCAAACTACTTTTAATCACCAACGATGAATCAAGTGATTAATTCTAGTAGATTTAGGGAAGTGGATCGAATTTTGGATTAAGAAGTGACCGCTGATGACTGTCTTCTCACTGTTGATGGCAGTAAATGATGCGTTCACTTCGGCACTCGGTATCATTGCCAATGTACTGGTGATCGTTTTGTGTTCGATGACGAAAAATATAGAACTTAAATTTACACGTATATTTATTTTGCTGCACGCTTTCGTCGACTTCCTGTTGACAGTCTTCTTTACGGGTTTACAACTGGTAAGTTTACTTTTATCGTTACAAGTTCCTTTCTTGAATGAACGCATTTCATTCTGTTGGGAGGAAACATTTCCAACAACGATTTGACGTTTTTTTACAACTGAGAATTACAGAACTTGTCTTTTGAAATTCTTGCTTAGTTCTTCATTTTTATAAGCATGAACCAGAGGTGAATCGCAGTGAGTCTGATTTGATGAATTTGATTTGTAAATTTTGATCAATATAAATAGCTGTTTAATAATTTGAACTTCACTAGAAATGAAGATTTGTGCGAATGCGATGTGCAATCAGATTGATTTCTGCCAAAATATACCACGGAGTAATGAAATGCGATTGAATTCATATAAAATCTTCAGGGACTGGTGATTCATAAAGGTTATGTTAATGTACTCATATACGGTCCATTATCGCTTGCTCCCTTAAAATTGGTACAATTTTTTTGTACGTCGTTGCTGTTTCTTTTCAACATATATCTTATCACCCTGCCAGTTGCAATGATCTATCGTTATGGAGTCATTTGCAAGTGAGTGCAATTTGATCATATTTTTCTTGCTTCATCAGATACACTCAATGATCTTCGTCTGCGGTCCAATTCCTTTTCATCAGAAGTTGCTACATCTGAAATCGTTTAGCTTGAAAAGCGAACAGCAAATTAATATTCGGAATAGAAACCCATAATTCTTNACCAAGCTCAAATTGAAATTTACTCAAGTTCCAGTGTACACAGAGTTCAGCGACTCTTCACACATTATTATCTGCTGGTAATGATCGTCGTTACTGTTATGCCAGCATTCGTGGCCGCTGCTATGATGGAGCCATTCTTGGTATATTCATATTTGAAAACGACATCATTTCACAGAAATGAATTACCGATGAATACCATCGTGAATTCGATGGTATTCACGGGCGATCCGATTCTTATTAAACTTGCCGCTGATGTATATTTTATCTTTATTAACACCGAAATGTTCAAAGTCGTTTTCTATTTAAAACACTTCACTGAATTTTTTTCGGCATTCATTGGGTTCAGCCAAAAAACATTGAATTAAAATTCTCTTGAACAGTGACATTATGCTCATGACGAACATTGACATTAACAAGAACAATTGACAGAAAGAACCCGAAGTGAAACTCGGAAAAAGTGTGTTTCAATTTTTTATTGAACATATATATTTTAAGGGCTCGTTACCATTGAGTATTTACGGATCATTTCTTCTTATCGTAACAATTTTTTCATATTCATCCATGTCATACTCAGCACATCGAATATTCGCTAGATTGAAGCAGTGCAAAATGAGTGAAAAAAGCAAAAAACTACAACGCAAACTAACGCTCTGTATGATTCTTCAGGTATTTTTCTAATCTTACTCGAATCATTATTCTTCTCGTTACAGTAACAATGAAGCGGATCATCATTCACTGCAACTCATACGTGCGGCATCAAACGCCCGTCTATTGTATTAGCATTATGCTTGCTTGCCCTCAAATTCGACAAATTGATTTCCTTAATTAAGATGATTTAAACAATTTATAAATAATATGAATTGTTATCTCAAGGCCATATTACCAGTGGTGTTCACAATTATACCAATGTTGACGTTCATGATGCTGCTCATCTCACCGGCTCAAATCGATTGCTACGGAACGACGATACTCGCGGTACTCAATTGGCAACCATGCATTTATCCGATCATATCACTTTGTTTCATCCAACCACTTCGTGATCTATTACAAAAATACATGACTACATTATTTTACTGCCAACGTTTTCCACTCCGCAATAAATACACTCTGAAAATTATGCCAAAAATTGCAACGAAAACAAAGGTGGTAACAATATCGCATAATCATCTCTAGGTTGTTAAGTACAGCAAGAAGTAGTTGCTCGACGACACTCTTGGAACAATTTATTGGTATTTTGATGATGCTGGTTTAAATGAGAGCGACTTTTGTCAACTTGTAATTCTCTCATTCACTGTACCATTAAGTAATGAATGTTTGTGACGATTCAAATTTTATCAACGAATTATTTCTTATCAAGATGATGAATAAAATATTTCGTGGTTATAATTCTTCCAGTCTTTAACTTTCATGATGCATTGTATTCTACAGCTATTAGGAGAAATTTTCTGAAAAGGTTTCATAACTGGTCACGTTCCATTTGGGAACATGGAGAAGGCAAAACCTTTTACACTGATCAAGATCAATTTCATCCACANCATCACCTCACTCTTCAATTTACTCAAATTTCAATATCATTTTTAACGTGGCTCAGACATCCAAGGAAGATACCCACATGGACGCTTCGGGTGGAAACCGCGAAATGGGATACATCAATCATAGCCAACGTGCGAGCCATCCTCTGCCGAGGATACGCTGACTTAATTGCCGTGTCACTCAGTACACTTACAAGGCTGTACTCAACAGCAAACGGGTTGTTCGAATCTGCCTCGTTGTCTGGCACTATCTCCTTGCGAATGACTCACTAATAACCACCTTTTTAAAACCAGTCGTTGACGTATGTACTCAAAAACAAATAGAAATGCTTTCACCATTAATGACATAGCAAGTATCCTTGTGGAATGAAGGCTACCACTCAGAGGCAGCAAAATCATGGTATCATATTTAGAGCTTTCTTAATTTTTGAAATTTGAGTAACATGCCAAGAGAATATGTTACATTCGTTTAAATGGGGACGAAATTGCGTTAGTTTCGGAACATGAAGATAATCTGACTGATGTTTGAAGGTAATCTGATTATGTCATTTTCCATGAGCAATTCATGAAGATAATCACACTAATATATTTATTCAACCGATTTATAAGTGAATTATGAACAGATGGACTTAAAAACAAAATATATTCACAGGTAGTAGCGATTGACAAGAATTTAACGAAAATTTTCCCTACATGAAACGACAGAATGAAGAGGAGCGTTCCCGTCAATTATTGATGGTATTATTTGAGAAGTCTTGCGTCATAGAATACACTTGCGCTCATTGCGTTTCTTTAGAATTAGAATACACTTTGCAAATGGATATTAAAAGCGTAGACATACAGTCTATTGCAAGCTCTCAGAGCATGTGCAATTTCTTGAGCACATTTGTTACCCGCTTAATTAGTTTATCAGCAAATCTATCGAGACTTTTGTCATCAACCGTGACTTTTTGAAGATTAGCACAATCTTTTTTCGATTCGATTGGACATGTCTCCTTGTAGTGTAACTTCAGTGCGATATCCTTGTTTGCGTAGATTGTACGAGAGACATTCGCGAATAACCGATGCAGTGCAAAGTGATTGAAAACACTCGCAATCGACTTCGTACTGAAAATTTCAAAAAATTAACAGGCAGCTGAATATGCCTCGTTTTGATTGTATTTTTGATTGAGAAGTTTCTGAGGAAATATGCCATTCATAAGTTAAAGCCGATTCAGATCGATTCCTGCTCAAAATTTATCCACTTTTCGGTTTTGTTATGACAATATGGTAGTTGATCAATTCAATTCGAATGTAGTTTGTTCGAAAGTACAAGTAATCCTGGAACAGCTAAAGCGTTCACGGAACATCTGATGATTTAGTGGCAAATGCAGACTCTCCGAGGCAGAACTTCGTCAGTAANTAACCTCGTGAAACTTTTTCCGTATTCACCACGATCACTGATCTTCTGTGACATACGTCTGTTACGTAGCATATACATATACTCGGGCACGTTTGCGTCGATTCGTTTCGAAGGGAATTTGAAAGCGTTCAGAAACGATACCGATGAAATGTCATAGTTGGGTGTTTTACCGATCGCTTCTTTTAGCATCTCCATCCAATTATCATTCTTAATTGGGACAATCACTTCATCTGTATCAATAATCAAAACATACTCATGCGTATCGATATGCCTGCAAAAAGACACTTCAGTCTTTCATAGCAACGAATCAACACACGATTACGATTCTTCAATTGACGCAATAATTCTCTGCAGATTTCATTCATACGCGTTTTTGATTTATTCACTTGCGATCATGATGTGATCTTTCTACAGCTTTTCTCACAGAAACAAAATTGTGAATTCCAGTGTTTCTGATTTCTCGTTATAAATAACTTGGAACGTTCAACATATTTCACAAAAACTGGATCAAGCAAGCGAACTCGCATACCTGTAAAAGCAATCGTTATACGGAATCAATTCATGACGTCTTTTTTGTTGTCGATTTCGCCAAATGAATTCGCTTCGAATGAAATTTTGATTTGGAGAGTAACCCGGAAGATCTAATGAAATCTGAAAAAAAGAAACAATTTTTTCCATCGAATTCAATCTTTCAATTTCTGGTTTCATCTAAAATCAATAAATTAATTCTAAGTGGCGTCGAGTTCAATTTTTATTAACGAGGACAAACTGATTCGTATCAATCATGAATTATGAAATCGAAACTCTTATTTCTGCAATGCTAAAGCGTGAAAACTTCTCCTCTTCATACTTTGACGCTATCGAATAGATTATCGACAGAATGCTATTTGAAGCGAGTCAGAATAACGTCTACATATCTGCTGACAATTCAAATTAAATGAATTCCACAGAAAGGATATCCCTTACTTTTTTACACAAACACATAATCGTTAAAGCAAAACATAAATACCATTGTCAATTTCCCGATATTAACATAATAGTCGAGCACTTTTTGTGTTTCAGGCGATACGAAATACGTGTACACTGTGACTGTATCGGCTCCCAACAAGTACTGAGCTTCAATCCACTCAACAAACCGTTTTGAAATGTCCTCTTTGAAGTCCATACCCTAAAACTGTTCACTGTAAAGTATGATAAAATGCTCACTGCTTGACATAGTTAATATCATTCAGCGAGAACTCTCTTGGAAATCCTATGACTCACGCAGNNAAATGCCGAAACTTAGATACTTATTGTTAGATATATGAATGTGCAGTGATGTGCAACTTCAGATAATGTATATTCAAGCTGTATCGAACCTTGACACATACAGCAACAAATTTACGACCAGAATTCGGTGTTTCGTTTTTTCGAACTCGAAGCGCAGGTGAAGTGCCATAATCACAAGCTGCTTGAGTTGTGAGTTGAACTGCTAGTTGATCACTGTCTTGCATTCTTGATGGCAGCGGACAGGTGATCAAATTGGGCACATAAAATAAATCTCTAGGATCCCATGAACGTTGCCAGATTTCTCGAATATATCCATCGACAACTGCTGCTTTACCATTGCTCAGATCACGAATGCAACAAAATATTGTTCGCTTCGTTTCGATTGAACGAAATGACATTAGAAGTACCTGAAATCCTTTAAAAACTTCATGATCACGGGGAACAATTCAGAGTGCCTTTAGGAGGATCAACGAAATGAAAGGTCTTTATTTGTTTCACACCAATTGTGTTTTATTTCTTCATCAAAATACATTTTCCCAACTTCTGATACTGAGTTTGAAAAATTGTTAGCAAAACGTAGCAAATGAAAACGACTTCTTTTATGAATCGAACCTTATGTTTTGCAACCGTGAAAATGTGAAATGAGGACGAATCAACTCAGTTGCAAAAAAATGAATAATCAACTGAGTGACTGTTTCAGTTACTGACTTGAATGGCATGATTCAAAGGATAAAGTGAGTTCGGGCGACGATCATAAGTTGCTGAATAAAGATATAGGTCGTCGTTTTTAATCCATCCACGATCCACTATCACATCAGGCTTTTTCAGTCGACACCTCCAATATTCATTTACTTCTCTTGGCTGTAAATATGCCATTCTCATTGAAATGAATATGACATCGTTCAAATATGTTATCATTTCGACTTTAATCGCACCAAACACTCAAACCTATCACTGTCTGCAATCAGCTGAGCATCTTCAACTAGCAAGTATAATAGAAAGTAGCCAAAATATGACAAGCATTTTAAAGTTAACAGTCTAATGACTCTATGCTCAACAGCGTTTATAAAGTATGACTTCCAGAATTTAAGACTGCCGTGAAGTGAGTAATTGTGATTAATGCCTTCAGAAGTAGGACAATCACTAATTAACTGAACTTGATCGCTATTTAATAACAATTTATAGAGGTGTTTCGTTACGGAATATTAAAATCAACAAAATATTGACAGGATGCATTAAAGCGATTTGTTGATCTAACGTATAACGTTACTGATATAAAGTGAAAAACGGATATGCTCTCGCTTGTTCACTGATGAAAGCATCGTTCGATATGCACAAAACAAACCTTCTCGACAACATCTCGAATAAAGGCTTTACCAATTTGCATGTCGTGCAGATATTGCACCGTTTCAACTGCGTAATCTAAATCCTCTTCGAACGTTTCGTTGTAGCCATTCACCGACACCAAATTCGATCGTTTTCGTTCTTCGACTTCATAGTCAAACACATGTAACGCTGTCAACAAGACCGTAATTGATACGCATATAATGGAAAGACGGGATCGTGAATGCCATATCGAAAGAAGTGAGTTGCGACGAACCATCGATTCACACTGCAATTATATTTAGTTTAGGATTTTGCATCCAGTTCGTTCCATTTGAGTAATCATTCTTCCATATTTGGTGGACATATGAATGTCGTCATGGCTCAGAAAAAATTTCGTTAGTTCAGCTCAAAAAAAAANAAAAAAAAATTATTCCGATTTCTTTGAAAAGAATTATCGCTGATAAATACGATTTGTAAATTCTTTCATGCTTAAATGAAAAATAGCATAAATTTTGTTAATTTTTTTCGAATGTTCAACGTAATTCAGTTGAGAAAAGTCTATTGTACGAACGTATTTGAATGCAAAAAGAACAACAAACTCAGTGACATACACGATCAAACCAATAAAAGAAGACACACAAATAAAGCGAACGAGAGCATCAAACGTATTGGAGCACCGCCAAGGTCAATCAGTTGTCAACGATCACATCCGTAAGAACGGACAATTGATGGCAGCAAACATCGTGATAGGAAGAACTGAAAGAAGAAAATCACCGAAGGGTTTATCAAATACCGTTAACAATACAATCGCCTTCAGATATTCCTCCTGAAATAGTCGCATTAATTGAAAGAGTACTGAAATACTCTGATTCGTTCGTCGATAATCCCTCGTGCCAATTGCATTTCAATAAAAATTTCGCCTAGTTGACCGTTCCGTTGAAATTCAGCACTGTGCTTCTAATATCTTCATCGCTTGCTCTTATAATGCTGCGTTATGGCTTTGAAGAGTACTTGCGAGAGGTAATTTTCTCATTACAAAATCGCACAACATCATTTCAAACCACAACTACTTGAGCAACTTGAAAGCAAACCACAACTTGAACTTGAGCACGTAAGGTATGTCTTTACACGCTTAAATTCGAAAGCGGTAGACATCGATCCTAATGAAATGCAAATTCTAATCACAACAGTTTTCTTTTGGATTTCAGCTGAAGTTTACCTCACAATTAAATGTCAAATTTGCGCATTAGAAAACAATTCTGAATAATAATGATATACGCAATTGCTGACTAATTGTAAGACAAATATACCAATTGGATTTTCGTACGCAAGCCACAATTACGAATGAAAATAATTTTTCACAATTCATCCGGTTATTCACCAAGTTCCTCCGAATGCTCTTGGATTGTCTAGTCAAATCAAAACATCGTTTGGAACCATTGCTTTACGTTTTATTCGATTTCGCAACATCAATAGGGAAAATACATGTGTATATTAGAACACAAGTGAACAGTGAACATTTTGAGGAAACTTTCAGCAGTATCGTGCTGATAAGGAGAAAAAAGATTTTGACATAAAATTTTGAAGTGAACAACCATTCAGCAGCTAAACCACATTTCCGTTTAAAATGACATATCGAGTATTGCTTCACCCCTCATTTGAATGATTATAGATACAAAAAGTGCAAAAATGAGAAACTCTCAACCTCAACGACGCTTCAACTAGAACCATTTTTTAACTAGAACCACATTTCGTTGACAGCATTCACAAATCGCATTTACAAGCACAATCGTCAATCACAGATCATTAAGATGCGTTAGAAATTGAAACAAAATTATAAAGAAGCAAAAATTCCCTTATTTTACAATAACGAAGAGAATTTAAAGACAATCACATAACTGACTGCTTCAGCTGGACGGAAAAACGTGACACAAATTACCTAAAAAAAGCAATAGTCAACACAACCGTTGAGAACACAATGACAATGAAGCAAACACTTTTATGAGACCGGAAATAAGCTCAACGTCGAGAGAAATCTCGAGTAATTATACTGAAGCATTGCAATTTTGATAATTTCGTAGATTTTACACAAGTCGACCGCTTTTCTGTAAACCATATCACATGTTCCTATATCAGAAAATAGATCTATATCCAATGCTTATTGAGCCTGAAAGCGACTGCAATCGTAAGAGATCGACAAGTAACTACGATTCATCGAGCACCATCTGTCAGCGGCGCCTCTCTATGACTTCAATTTAGATAGCATAAATAAGATGTCAATTCAACGGACACTGTCTGGCTTTCAGCCATAGAATTCGCAGAATCTGATGAAGCAAAACACTCAGTATAATAGCAATTGATACATCATCAACGTTGACAAACGCTTGGAATGTTTTATCTCAAATGAACGACAACAGCAATAATAATATGCAATAATTACAATCGTGACGAGCAATCGGTCCAATGACCGTTGATTCAGAGCCAGTCATAATCTTCTGAATCGTCGAATTGATAGTAATAAGCTGATCCGATGACTGAGCAAGCAAGCAAACGATAATCGCCATACCACTGATGATCATTCGAATGAGTACAAACTTTTGGTTGGGCAATAAAAATACGATAAAGATCAAAAAAAAACGAAAACAGAACTATTGTAGTAGGATAGGATGAAACTGCTTAGAAATATATCAATCTCCACAATTGCACTACAAAAAAACAATCATGACTGCTGAAATACTGCGANTATTTTTAAATGCGAATCACAGAGCGTCATTCAAAACCAATCTGTTAAAAAGTCATTTGCTATTGCTAATGGAACGTTTTCGCGCCGGCCGTTTTGTCATTTTTACACTTCTGTTCTCCATCTACTTAAAGAATCACATGCCAAAACGTACCGCATACTTTCCACTGAACTATCTCGTTAAACAATTTGGCTCAAAAACGGATTCGAAAACTACGAAGGACAAACTCTTGATCATAAGTGAACTTGATAAGAACGTCTCTGTGTGACTTCAAACAACATTTTGAGGTTAAATTCACACGACTCATCGAAATTCAAATTTTCACAAGGTTCAATTCAAAACGGTACCATTCTCTTGTCTGTATGGTGCTAAAAGTTCAGCGACAGCATTCGTTGCCAATTCCGCACTCTCAAGTATAGGCACACAAATTGGTGCCCTCAGACGAGTAGCCATACTCTCATGAAATATTCGCATTCGACTTTCCAATTCACTCAGTTTATTGATGTATTCACTTCGATCGATCTGAATATCACTATTACTATTGAGTGAAGTGACAGAGTATTTATTTTTATCACTGGTAGAGTATCTTCCGAGTGCATACGAGTTTGCATCATTAACATTTTATATTGTGGTTTTCTTCGATTACATTTTCACAACGTTCAGTAGAAATAGCGACCCGATGCTTATGTTGCACTGTACAGGAGTTAAGGGTTCGTTTCAAATGGACTGATGATCGGTTTTGTAACGATTGGAACGAACGAAAACTTTGACTTACATGAGGGTTATTTCGTATACTATCCAATTCAGCTTGAACGTTACGAAGCAATACTTGCAGCTGTTCAACGCTGCAGTTCTCAATATCAATCTGGAAAATCAAATTACATATGCAGCAAATGAGGATGGGTGGAATTTTTCTTTCTTTGTGGTTATTGAGAAATTAGGTGAACTGAGAGAAGTCTCACGTTTTGATCATCATCAACGATGCTGACTGATGTGGTGGATGATTCGTTGCCGAATGCAGCAGGTTTTGTGCTGACTGACGCTTCAACGGCACTGTCTCGTATAAACGGTACTCGCATGGGCAGAAAGGTCGTTTGACTCAGTGTTAATAATTTCATCGATAACTGCTCTAATAAACACCGTAATTCAGCCTGAAATCATTCCGATAGTATTCACGCAACTCAAAATAGTCTCCTCACTCTTCTGTTCAACCTTTTCAGTTCCTTTCAACTAATCCTCGTGAACAGATGAGAGAAATTCGATAAAATGCTATACTCAACCGATGAAGGCAGAAATCGAGAGCGATTGATGAACGACTGAATACAAGTTCAAAAGTTATCTTTATTATTTTTCACTTTCACTAACATGCCATTTTGAAAGCGATTGTAATGCACTGTTATCAATTTGATGTATCTGAATGAAATCATTTCTTGCTGAGGAAACAGTACGAATGTAACAATGCATTACCTTGAAATGAACAAGTAACTGATCTGGGTCAGGAAAGCATACGGCATTAACCGAAACACTGAGCATGATGTCGTTACCACATTGAACAAACGTGAATGCTGATTTTACAGAATCCGGTAAAGACGGATAGAACAATATCGACTGAATACGATTCGAATCCAACTCAATATCACCACTCGCGCGGAACAAGCTCACCACTATTGAATTGTCGGTATAGAGCGATGAAAACAATCGACGACTCAATGAACTGGAAAAGGAAACTTCCGCTGAAAATCGAGCTAATTTTATTGAAGATCGCATTTTCAACAACCAATTGTTCAAGTTTGTGGTTTTGAAGAAATGTCTTCGCCTTAAACAGTAGTGCTACAGACACAGAAAGTTGTCATCGAAAATGCGCATGCTCAACGTGGATGATACGTCAAGAGAGGGCTTGAATGCAGCATCCTATAAAAACATCTGAGATTCACTAGTATAATGATCGAACTCTATACTGCACTACCGAAAAGCATGAGCATTCGTAAACCACCTATTTCTGATGGTTGATTCGGTTACTTTGATACTTGCCATTTTATCACGAGTTGTTAGTGAAATTTTAAGAGACAACTGATTGACGAAGATGACTCACAAAGGAATCTTGAAAGACGTAATGTCAACGGTAAGACACCATCGAGCGCACCGGCTAGACGTCTCTGAACAGCCCAAACCCGCGGTATGGTGCCCTCAACACCGCACGGTACTTGCAGCGGTAACAAGATCATATCACATGGTTTATGTGCTTCCACAGGTATATATTCACGACATGAAACCGGAACTGTGGCACCGATGTCGGGCGGATGTGCTATACCCTGAACAAGTATTATGCATCTCTGTAACTGTTCAGTATTGGTTCAGTGAGCGATTTCTGATTTTAAGGAAGCATATTCTATTTCCCCCTAAATGAGGCTGGTAGTGAGATGCTTAAACGCTTTCAATGTATTATAGTCAACATCAAGATGAATAATTTCGAAGCAGTCAATGGTATTGATGCATAATTAAGCTTATGCCTAAATGTCACAGATACTATCCAATATAACTTAATGGCTTCTGTAATTCAAAGCTAGAAATCAACCGTTAACAACAAACACAATAATTGTAAGGGTACTATTAACAATATTACTCAAACTTCAGTGAACGACCTACTGAAGAACGAAAATGACGTCGAACAGCACCAGCGACAAATGCCAAAAATAACTCGATCGTTGCGGCACGCAGAATGCGCTCAGCGCGAAGCAACTGATCAGTATCTGATAACCTTATCCATCTATACAAACGCTTATCACCTGAAAAACATAACACTCGATAGCCTCAACTGAACTATCCATATTCATTTCATAATAACTTCAAATAATAAATTCAAAATAAGATTTCGAAGGCAATGTCACTGTCTACCGATCCAAATTATCTCGCGATGGATGGCATTCTCCCAGAAAGAAATGACTTGCTTGAAGCTGCTGTTGATGATGGAATATAACAAATGAAATGAGTACATAATAAATGCACAGATGAATATTTGCATAATAATCACAAAAAAATATGATCGCAAATAGAAAGTGGGGCACCATTTCATAAGGCTCTGTAGATCTATCTAGTGATGTCAAATACTCGATAAATTACCACTTAATCCAATAAATTCTATAAACATATAGAGAGTTTCAATTGAAACATCCACAGAACATCCTGACCATATATCCAACGATCATTTTGATCGTTTGATGTTCGACGTACTCAAAATGAAAAGCCCTTACCAGCTGTGTTACTGTCGCATTTATTCAAATTTTCCATCAGCACAGACTCATCACCATTATCCATCGTATCGTTCGCTATCCTATAAACTATACAAATTTCAACGAACAAATCATCATTCACTTCCTTCGAATGCTCGAAACACTGTTATAGTCTTATTGACACCATGATGATTTTGTTGTATGTAAATGCTGAATCTTTTATGGTATCGATTTTCGATCACGGCTCTATATACTTCATGGAAACATTTCACTCCTTACCGAAAGAACGAGGAAATTCAGCTGCATTTATTTTTTAGTATCCGATTCAGTGAATCGCATGCGTTATCATTAGATAAATGCTAAAATGGATAATCAATGACAGAAGTTTACTTCGAAATGGCATTTTTAATTTCAACGAGTGAAGGTAACGTGAGTTAAAACGAACGATAATGGGAATAGGACGGAATACGATGTGAGAAATGAGGAAATAAAATCAGACTTGAATTTCAGTGAGACATTGCCGTGAACTGACCTGCTCGGCGAATGTGTTTCGATGATCAGTTCTCTCCAAATGGGATTCGTTGCACGAAGGCACATTGCGGCTATTGATAAAGGTCCTACGCATGTAAACTAAACATCCTCATAAGATTTTATAAAGGCAAACCAACTATATAAGCGAAACAGAATGTGTCTTAGATGAGTATTTTATGATCTGTGCTTTGTTGATAGAATGTTTTATATTCAGAGATCATAAATAGTAATACTCCGTTGAAATGGAACAATCTTCGTATTTCTTATCAACTATATGCGAGACTATTCATATGATAAATACTTTGCTAACATGGGATTGAATCATCAGCAAATTGTGTGCGATTGTAACTAGTCATTGTTGTCTTTATTGAAACAAAAAATTCTCCACAAAACAATTTCCACTAAAACAACTGATAAAGGCAACTTGCAAATTATGTAGACTATCGTAAGTATGAATCAGATTTTCCAAAAACTTCACTTGTACTGTTTGTGCAATTGTTTGACATAACGTGATTATGAGATTCGTTTCGAAGCGTTGCGGTGAGAACGATTCTCCCATTTTTGGCTCAATATCGAATACCAATCCACCATCTGTATAAAGTGATAGCAGCCGAGGCAAGCAAAATGTGAAACTGTAGCAGTCGTGCGTTATTAACGTTAAACAATAAGAGTTGTCGTGCTAAAAGTTCCAAACATTGTTTGACAAACATCATCGCATTTCAAACGTACACCATCCATTTAATTCTTGCAAAGAAATTCTTTGTGAAACTGAATGGATACCAAAAAATAAGACTGCTCATGTTGAACACTGAACTCATCGCAACGGTGTGTCATACTCAGGACACATCGAAGAATTTGTAAGGGTGATATTTGCAGGATTCGAACTGTTCGAATGGACTCACATTTGTGGTATTTGCAAAATTTGGTACAATCAATAAAGTGGAACGAGAATGAATAGAATTGAGAAGTGAGGACGGTTCGTTGAGCACTGAAACCAAATCACTGATCACTTTTAAGCGTGTCTTCCTGCAATTCAGAACAAACAAGTAACAGTTAAGGATAAACGTTTCTGGCTGCTTGTCACTATAATTCCATTGTGGCAGAAAGTGGTAAGAGATCAATCGAAATACGGAGAATATATATGCTTAGTAGAGAAATTATTTTATCATTTATATCAGCGAATGTAACGGAATGAAGCGATTAATGAACGATGGAAACGTATAAATAGAATGAAAAACTAACTGCTGATCCCAATATCGTACATCAGGTGCTGAACCGCTTTGTTCGATATCGCGGTATGCATGACACTGACAACTCTTTCGCTCATCATTCATAAATATCCTCGACAACTGGAAGGGAAACTCCATATTCATCAACTATTCAAATGCAACACATTTTCTGAGTTGACGAATTTTTTAATCAGTTTCAGTTCTGACTTCGTCCATATGCACAATTCATTTTCTAATCGTTTCACCGAAGTGTTTTTTCGATAAACGAACAAGAAAGCACCAGAATAAGTTTTCTTTATTGTTTACTGTACAGAAGGAAGAACGAAAAGTACACGGATGAATAATAATGACAACGGTAATTAACAATTAAAACAGCAGCAATAAACTACTTGCAACTCAACAATATTCGGATCAAACGCCGTTTGTGTGGTGAGAACGGCTCGGAATGGTACATTTCCTTGTAAAGGCCACCACGCATCACAGCGACTGAAAAAATGCAAATGACCGCACTGAAAAGATCGATTAACGGTCGCAAAATTTTCAGTTGAAGAAACTGAGAAACGACAATTTTTCATGAAATCTGAAATTCTGAGAATTTCATTGAAATCTCATTTTGAATCTCATTCTCTAACAGAAAGACCCTTCTGTATCGCTCTATCACCAGAAGAGTATTCTGACGGAAAGAATGAATTCAACAATCAGTTCGATTTACTCATTTTTTCATAAATGAGCAACAGATTTCCTAGTATTTTGCACTCGCATCGCTGAAAATAAGCTGATATCGAAGAATCTTTTCAATTTCTTCATCCGCTTATCTCGGTTCGCTCTCACAGTGCATACCGAAACGTTATCAACCTATTCAACTCAGCATCATGTCATCCGTGTAAAATTTACTTTCCCCCTTTAAACTGTCACTTTTCGCTTGAAAAGAATTTTGCCGAATTCGTTGTGAATTTGAAATCTGAGCAAGAGTGCTCGTAATGAATTCCATCTAACTTGTGTGGTGACGAAGAGCGATGCGTGAATCGATTTTTGAGGAATATGATGAGTCGAGAAAGAAGAACAATAGGAGCACACAGTGCTAGCAGGCAAACGACGACAATCGTAAACAACAGGCCGAATACGTGCTTCGTCAACGCACATAGGGCAACACATAACAGACCGTCGTGCAGTCGACGTTTCAGCAGTGGAGGCACCGAATTGACTTTCTGAAGGCATTTCATCAATCATTTTTCACTGCGATTTATTGACACATTTTTGTGAATTCTCTCAATCGCATATCCCTCATGAACTTTTAGTTTAGATAGCGCACAATGTTCAAGACAACCTTGTGCTAATGTACATAGTCATACCTCCAGTCTGACATGATCAGTTAACGCATATCTTATTTCACAAAAACAACGCGCAGGGATGCAATCTTATCCAACGATATGCAATCGTAAAAGTACTGCAACGATCGCATGAAGACTGGACGCTGAATTAGCACTTGAACGAAATTTTGAAGAATACGAACACATGCTGATGAATTATCAAGTAGTTGTTCAATGAATGAAGTTTTTTGCTTGAATAATAAGCCATGCTATCGCATCAGAAAATATCTCTGTATATCACACAATATGTTTGCCATCACTTTTCGGTGATGCCGTGTCAAAATGAATCAGAACTGTAGCGCATAAAGCATCAAATTACCGGTTTGTTTCGTGAGCAAGAAACAGCCGATTGTGAAGTTGTGTTGACGGTTGTTGAATTTTGCTGAGAATCATCATTTAAATTCTCATCATGAGGTGCTGATAAATCTTGGTGCTGTTGTTGACGACGAACACACGATGTGCACCTACCACGCCAGCAGCTAAGCTGCTTGCAAACCATACATAAATAAGTCCTTAAATGAAGTTACATTCTGATAGTTGAGACGAATTTATGAGATATTATTCAGAATACGCTCATGCAAGCATTCATGTGAACAATTCACTGGGTGTTTTCAAAATCGAACTACTCTCTCGTTGATGATGGTGGCATTCAAGTTCTCATATCTCAATGACAACTTGACTTATTGTTTGTCTTCGATAGTCAAAATCAGTCAAAATCCAAAACATTCGTCATTTCAAGTTGACATCATTGATTGAGTTAACTTCATTGAATTGACACTGAGTTGATATATACTTGTTGCTGCCACTCATTGCTCATTGTCAGCTCACTATTGATAGCACCGACTTTTTTTGCGTAGCGATTAAATTGCATTTCACTTCATTATTGTTTTTGGCTAATAGCAAACCTTTTGTCCTTCACAGATCACGTTCGAAGTCAATTTTTCAAGCTAATGCCATGCTATGCAGAACTAGACGTCTCTCTAAGCCGTGAGTTCACTTGTTCAGTACTTGCACAGCGTTGAATAGCTTTCTCGATAAAAAAATCAGTTTTGCTGCAACGTAAAACAACGTAATAGTAACACACTCGAATAGGCTTTTTGAATATCGCAATTACAATTTACATTTGATGAATTTTTATACGATTCAATATGCGTATTTATCACGTGAAGATCTGATGCTCACTCAATAAGAGCAAATACTTGGCATAGAATTAATTTCAAATTCAATGTTGCATTTCATTTGTTCTGCTAAAAAAACAAAATGAACGAAAACTCTCTTACGAGTAGCATTCGCTGAAAGTGCCAGTTCTTTTCATGGAAAAGTGTTTAAGATTCGAATCACTTCATATTCGAACATCAATTATTAAAGACAGACACTTGAACGCCTGAATAATCACTCTGCGGAGCTGAACAACTTAAGAGATATTTTTGGAAATTCAATCAACAAAATGTCCTCCATTATCGGTTTTCTTTCATGAGTGCAGCTGTCATCAGCTGGATGTTGAGCTGGAAAACTTTTAAAATGAGTACTTCTATGACCAATAAAAAAACCTAGCATGGAGCGATCGCAATTCACTAAATCGAACAAAAAATTACTAGACAAACAATATTCAGCAGTTTTATGGACTAGAATCACTGCAAAAACTCTATGGGGTAAATTCAGTGGAAGATTCAAAGTCTTGTCAACTCTTGCATGGTCGATTCTTCCGATGAGAAACAAGAAAGTGTTTTCTCAAAGCACATGATATACACACGAAGCAATTTACAGCAGAATAATCATTTCAGAACTAGAATAAACGATGGAAATGACACTAAAAATGAAGAAGACTCTATGCTCGGAAATGACGAAGGTGTATTTCGTCTCAGCTGACGACATAGTAACGTCAGAACAAGAGATATAACGATACAGTAATGTTTTAACTGCGTAAACAAAACGAGCGAATGCAACTGACGTTTGACATGAACCGAAAACACATCCATTATGAAATGCAATGAAAGAAGTACCAAAAACATCTGCTACTGATTCTGAAATGTGTCGCTTCTTCGCTTTTCCTTCCCATCCATCCACAATAATCGAAATATTCAGTCTTCTTAATGAAACACTAATCCGATATCGTCTGCTGCTAAATTGAAACCGTTCATTTNGCTAGAAAATAGGTTTTTTTCAACGTGAATGAGATTGGAAACATCTAAAATAATATTTTTTCGTTAAAGCCTAACCAAAACTGAACAAAATAATTGGCTAACGAAAAGCAAATGCCTTGTTTTTAGTCATGCTAACAGTGAGCGATTTCTGAGAAGTGCAAGTGGTTTGTCCGATAAATCATACACGCACACTGACGAATGCTTAAATATGACACACAATAAGTTATGCATAGCAATCATCTTGCTTCTAACCGCTCTAATAAATTCAGATTACAGTCCATGGTGCTTCTGAGATGATTACGAATCGTCTTAATATTCTGACATGATTATGAACCCATATGAATTATTGCATTCCTAAATGTCATTACCAATCTTACTGATCCATCTAAAGCAATATCCGACTAATATCTATTGAGTACTAATGAACTATCAATGAATCGTTATAATAAAATAAACTGCTAGTGTTTGCAGTACCATATCAAAATGAAAAATAACACAAGCACTCAGAGGTGAAAAGCGATTGCTTAGCACGTAAGTACTAGAGACGGGACCGGAATAGAAAATTCGATAGCACTGGAAACTGTCGTAAAAATAAACCACCGGTATCGTGGTGAACCGTAAGCAGAAGTCGGACGAGTCGTGAGATCGAAAAATACCGGAAGACCGAAATGAGAAGAGACACACAGTGGCGATCAAGCAGCACGGAGTCACCTGAACGTGTAAGAGTTTACAATGTCTCGAAAAAAAAGTGGCTGCTTCCCATTTTGAAGTGTTATTCTTCCGGTTAAATCGGAATGAGAACACTGTAATTAAATAATCTAGAAAAAACCAACAAGGAGACTGCAAATGGAAAGAACATCCCTAGTGCATGCGTACACAGAAAAAAAAAACAAAATACTCGCAAACAAACACATACGAATTGAATAAAAATGTCAATCGCATTAGTACAACAGATTCACATTGTAGAAAGGAGTTCATGATGAAAACGTTGCGAAATGAATCTGTCGGAAGTGAGTTGAAAACGTGAAAAAAAAACGAGATTTGATTGTACATGAATAAGAATTGAACTTTTACAAGACCAGTTCTATAAAATTTCTTATTTATAAATTGAACACGAAGATATTTACAGTACAATGCATAGATAAAAATTCATGAATACAAACATGTATAATACATAACATAAATAAGTACATCAAAAATACATTTAAACAAACGTAACATTGTCTGCATTGAATGATTACGATGAGAAGAAGCAGGAATATTCACTCACGGGATGATACGAAAAGTGGAAAGTGAAATTTATGCAAATAAAGTTAGCGCTCAATCAATCAGTGCCCAACTGCGTTAACGTTAAATTCAGAGTTCGGTTGGGAAGACTGTCTGAAAAAGGATTGAAGAGATGCACACTTTTGTCTCTTTGTCTCTGCAGTTATCAATCACAAATTGATGGATTGTTGAGCAGTGCAAATGAATTTGAAAAACAATCAATGAGAAGGAACATCACAAAATTAATTCAGTCCACTTGTCGAAACTGAAATTTAATTGACGTTTCACACGAAATTCTATTTAATTGTACGTATCACGAACAACTGAACTATTGCTGCGACAAATTTTTTCAGGAAATAATTAAATCAGTGAGAAAAATCAGAAAATAAATTAACGAAACGTACAAACGGTTAATGTGGTTTTTATCATCATTATTATCTGTCAAGATAAAGAGTATGTTGTAGGAAATGTTTCACCTCTGTGATCATCAAGTCGATAATCGAGTTTAGATCATTCATGGAGATGTACGATTCTCAGAATCATTAGCTGTACGCAAAGGAAGATGTTAAGTAAAGAAGAGCGTGATAACTCATAACGAGTTGTAGTTGCTATAAAATGAATGAACGTTCCACAACATGGCAGGTGTAGTATATTACAATGTGGATGCAAATTTTCAGATTTGAGGAGATAAACCGATCACTGAAATTAGCTGACGGAACAATTTTGTGTTGAATGAAATTAAAGAGACGAAAATAGGTACGAGAGATCAACGACTGCCACAGTTGTTGAATTGAGGGATATGAATGCTTTTGGGATGGAGCATTTGTTTGGCATTCATTCGTATTTGTATTGGCTGTGTGGGTATATGATGAAGATGAACGAAATGCAATTGAAAAGAAGAAGATATAAATGGATGGATGTTGAACGATGACACTGAATATGAGACGCATCTGGTGTTCGTCTCATTCCTGAGTGCAAAAAATAAAATTTAATTGCTCAATCAGTTTGTTTCGAATGAATCGCAACAGCACAATGATCACTATTTTCCTATATAAAGCTGTAAATATTTGATTCGAGAAAAGCAAAAAAACAATCGATAAGCGCAAACAAACTAATTGCAAAGTGAATTTCATCGAGTCGATGAGTTGGCGTTTCATCAGTGTGAATCGAATCATAATTCAACCCTTTTCTGGTGAACCGAATCTGTGAGATTGCTTTTGAGGGGAAGGAATCGCGTGATTGAGTATTTGCTATACGATAATGCCGATAGATGACAGTGGAGATCGAACGAATTTCAAGAAAACACAAATAAATAACTGAATAATAAATGGGATATTCAATCACAGAGGTAACGAACAAATAAAACTTGATCGCGATGAATGTAATAAACAGCGAACATTCCAATTGAATTGATCAAAACAATCCACTTTCATAACAAAGCGATCAACAGCTGTAAGGTTTTCACACATTCTTGAGTTAATGGCTGATAAAATTATAGAAGAAAATATTTTCGAAAATTTTCACGACGATTCGAACAATTTTTCGAAATACCCAAAACGTAATCCTCGTTTAGTTTAGTGCACAATTGGAGTGAACTCAATGCGAATGAATATTTTACAATTCTCATCGACTAAAAATTGTTTTACGCTCGAGTTCGTTTCATATTTTCTGAGCAATAATTTTAAGAATAGTTTTCTTCTTCTTCAGCTGCTTTCCGCTCGAATGGATATTTCTTTGACAGATTTGAAATGAAGAAAGCAGATCTTTAAAAAAATGCTTCTGAATGCTCCCGTGAAGCATTGAACAGAAAACACACTGAATTGAAACCAACAAAATTTGAATGTTCTCTGATATTTATCAGTCAGTCTCTCACAAACTTTTTTCACACCTCCGCATGACTTCAGTTCGTTTCCGGCTGAGCGCTGATGATACACCGAATGAGAGTTTTAAATCCTGAGTGAGCTGGCAATAAATTATGACTGACTCGTCTTCAGCGATATTGCTGTTAAAAAATACTTACTTTGAATCAATGTCATTCAGTCAAACGTTTAGATAAGCGACAAATTAATGGCACCGGAATGGCAACTTTCGAAAACATTTTAACTAGCGCTTTTTTCATTTTATGAGTTCATTCGAGTTTCTTGTGTTCTGATTTCTATTTACGTGAATATTCGTTCTGAGCTTATTCGAATTCGGGTACCGTATTTCAAAAAAAACAACTATTCGTTTGATGTTGACATGATAATTAGATTATTTTCAAATTAAAATGGTAAGGTTGTGAGATGAACTTCTGGCCTGGAATATATTTTAAAATCTCATTGTGCATCTATTATTCTATTAAATAGTCCATAAGCCAACACAAAATATGAAGCAAAACTCGACCAGAGTTGGAATAGTTTCTTCGTTGGAAATGATCACATTCAAAGAGCAGTTTTTATTCGACAGAGTCATAATATTAAACGAACATCGAAGAGTGCAATCAATTTTTGCTGCATGTATGCGACTGTCTTCATAAGATCGTGCAAAATGCAACAACAACTAATTATGCTCCTTACTCTTACGAGACACTGTGTCGCTGAGACTAATGATTGCAATAATAACGATTCGTTCTGTGGAGTGATCAGAATTCTTCAAGATTGTCAGTCAAAACCTCGTCTGGTTTATTTATAGAACTCAAAAAATAGCAGTAGCTTGAGGTTAACTGCCACTGCAATTGCTGATAACAGCGATAATTTTCTTTTTCAAAATTCAAATCAAAAATTCCGAATTAATGCACATCTCGAATGTATTGAATGAAGCAATTTAACCTCAAAAATACCGATCATAGTTTAAACAGCGTTGGCGTAAGCCTGATGATGCGAGTGATCCTCAATAATATCTCATTACACAATTTAACGACTATTGAGGAAAACATTCTAAATGGAAATTTTAAACGAACAAAAAAGAACTCCATGCGAGAAGCGAATAAACTTAAGATGGCATGACAATTACTGCGCAATGGCTTTATAGAATGAATGGAATCTTTCGGTGATCGTTCTTGACGGCACCTCTGCATATAATACGAAATTTTCTTAATAATAAAGTGATTCATCTGAAAGCCGAGATGACTCAAGTTGGAGAATATGATGAAAATGTTCAAGAGAAATGCAAATAAACACGAACCAAATCGAATCATCCAATGATCGTCGAATCAAACAAGCGAACAAACAAACTCATTCATTTATGCTG